AAAGTTGAGTACTGTCGGCATTAGCATCATCCAAGGTGTCCAAACACTAGCTTGAAACCTTTTGAATGTGTTCAGGATCATGACATTGATAAAGGCCAACGACCTTGGCCATCTTTAGCTAATGTTTGGACACCTTGGATGATGCTAATGCCGACAGTACTCCAACTTTCAAGCTTTATAACTCAAGATTTATTTCATAAAAAAATATTTTATTTATGTGTTTTTGGAAAGTTCTCGAGGCGTGCTATAAGAACATGTAATGAAAAATTGGGGGTTCCATTTAAAAAATTCAAAGTGACCTTGTCCTGACCTTGACGACGCCACTCGGGGTCAAACCAATGTTATCATCTTATGTCCCCCTCGAAACCCTACAACTTTTGTCTGAAAAATTTTTCTCTCCCGGGCTTGATTTTCGAGATATTTGACTGGATGGATTAAAATGGTCCACCCTGTATATGTATGTATAGCTGTGAGCACAACAGAGAAATTGTTAAGAATAAATATAAAATTTTTACTTATCAGAAATCGTGTATTCCACAGTCCATGTACGTACGATAGTTTGAAATTCTTATATTAATTCCTATTTTTGATATTTCTTCGATTGTGCTTACGGCTTAACAGTTATATTATAGAGTTTGATATCATATTAATTATAATGTTAATTTATGACTGAGTTTGCTAAAAATTTAATTTTACCTGAAGCATTTTCCACAGTAATTACACACCAAGTTTAGTTCTTTATGAAGTTGAACATGACGCCGTTCCACGTTTTTACTTCTAAAAAAGATTCAATAAAATTAAAGTAAAAAACAAAAATAAAAAATATATATATAAATTATGAAAGTAGACAAGCGTAAAGTAAACAAATTTTTGTGATTAAGGTATGCGACTTACCGAAAGGATTTTTTACATATCGGACATTTATACGGTCTTTCTCCCGTATGAATTCTTTTGTGATTTTCCCACAATTCATTCGTTATCAGCTTTTTGTTGCAGATGTTGCAGATGTAAATTTGTTTTTCCCGTTTGTGCTTCTGAAAGGACGTTAGAGCATTATATAATTTCTTATACACAATTCCTTATATATATATATACATATATATATATATATATATATATATATATATACAATAATAAAGGTACCTGTAAATGGAGTATCAGTTTTCTACGTGTCGTGAATACCGCATTGCAATATTTGCAACAATTGTCGGCTGTATTGGAGTATATCTTATTGTGATTTTCCCAAGTAAAGCGACATGCAAAGAATCTGTCACACTTCGTACACACGTACTTTAATTGCATTTTTTTAAATTTGTTGTGTTCTTCACGTTTATGAAGAAATAGATCGTACGGAGATGAACATTCTGCAGAGCATGTCCTACAAATTACAGCTCTTTTCTCGTGTATTTGAGTATGATCTTTGAAATATTGCTCCTCTCCAAAGTAAATATTGCAATCATCACAATAAAATATTTGACCATTTTGGTTAACTGTTTCTAAAAAACTTTGATCATCCTCTTTATTACTATTTGTAACAAAGTCAGAGCTGTTATCAATTTGTTCTATCGAGGCTTGTATCAGATCTTTATATTTCATTTCAATAATATCTATCTTAGTATCCGTCGCTAAGTCAACTGATGCTGCCATTTCGTTACATTTCGTTAGAGTAACAGCTTCCTCTTCGTAATTAATTTCGTCAATATCTTCTAGCTTTATTTTCCAATCATTCTGAATATTTTTCTTATCTGTCATCTTCTGTATATGATAATCTTGATAATTCTGAGCGTTCTTCTCGTCTATAACTTCTCGTTTAATAATTTGACACTTCTCTGTATTTTTATTTGTATCTTTATCTGTAGTTTTATTTGTAACAAAGCCAAGGCTGTTATCAATTTGTTCTATCGAGGCTTGTATCAGATCTTTATATTTCATTTCAATAATATCTATCTTAGTATCCGTCGCTATGTCAACTGATGCTCCCATTTTGTTACATTTCGTTAGAGTAACAGCTTCCTCTTCGTAATTAATTTCGTCAATATCTTCTAGCTTTATTTTCCAATCATTCTGAATATTTTTCTTATCTGTCATCTTCTGTATATGATAATCTTGATAATTCTGAGCGTTCTTCTCGTCTATAACTTCTCGTTTAATAATTTGACACTTCTCTGTATTTTTATTTGTATCTTTATCTGTAGTTTTATTTGTAACAAAATCAAGGCTATTATCAATTTGTTCTATCGAGGCTTGCATCAGATCTTCATATTTCATTTTAATAATATCTATCTTAGTATCCGTCGCTAAGTCAACTGACGCTGCCATTTCGTTACATTCCGTTAGAGTAACAGCTTCCTCTTCGTAATTAATTTCGTCAATATCTTCTAGCTTTATTTTCCAATCATTCTGAATATTTTTCTTATCTGTCATCTTCTGTATGTGATAATCTTGATAATTCTGAGCGTTCTTCTCTATAATTTCTCGTTTAATAATTTGACACTTCTCTGTATTTTTATTTGTATCTTTATCTGTAGTTTTATTTTATATTTAAATAATTTGAACATCGTCTGCATACATTGATTGGCAGATTATTATCTGGAGAAATCTAAAAACACGAAGAATATAATGTTATTCATATATTAATAATAGTACAGCCGAACCTCGATAACTCGAACCTCTACAACTCGAAAACCTCTATAAGATGAAAAATTTGTTCTTTCCCTTCCGCTCCATTACGAAAAACCTCTATAAATTGAAATAAAACCTACCTTAACTCGAATTATTTGTTAGATATTTAGATGTATTATTTTATCTTAGCAATTCGAATTTAAAGTAGCCAGACCTCTAAAAGTCGAAGTTCACCTCTATAAGTTGAACTTCTATTGTCGTTGCCTTTATAATTGGAAGTTTTAGCTACATGTAATCATAAGCAATAGCCTGGTATTTTGTTTTATAATGATTACATTTATTATATGTATGCAATAAATAATTCACTGTCAAATATTGATTTTTTTTCCTTTAAAAGCCATTATAATCGGAAAATTATAAACTCTCGTACAAGATCGGAAGAGCACACGTCTGAACTCCA